ATTTTTTCCTTGCAATTGCAACTTTTTATCTCATATTTCTGACTTTTTCCCTCACATTTTTTATATTTCCCACACAAAGTTTATATCACAGTTCTGAGTTTGTCTTGCAATTCTAACTTTGTCTCCAAAAAAAAAAGAATTGTGAAATATAAACTCAGAATTGCAAGACAGAACAAAAACAGGACAGGATATACCAAAATAATGTGTTTCGTGGGAAACCTGAGGGCTTAAAGTGTCCTGGAAATGTTATCGCAGAACAGGTTTTCATTCTTTCTTTTTCTTTTTCTGGAGCAGACGGCAATTTTACCTGCCAGATCCTTCTCCTCCTCCAACTCCTCTTTGAGTTCCTGCAGTTTGGACATTGGATGGAGTGAAGGAATGGTTACCCCAGGAATCTGGGGCAAACAACAGGGTGGGGTCCGGGCAATGGGAGAGTTCCTGCAGTCCAGGAGGAATTTTCTGTCATAAATGATCCGAGTTCCTGGAGGAGGGATAGAATGTATATTAAAGCAACCAGTCAGATGGCTAGAAAAATATTTTTACATTCTAGGCTGCAGGGTACAACATGTAAGGGGGAAAAAACCCTTAATATTCCAGCCAAATGTTTTAGCACTCAAAAACAAACGATAAAATGTGACTCCGAAGAGGATTTCTTAGAATTAAAACCCAAATGAACAGCAATTTTAATCTATTTAACAAAAGAAAGGTAGCAATTAACTCGATGTGCCACTCAACACGTCCACGCGATCAGATTGTAAACAAAGACTGAAATATTTCACATTTTGCATGTGAAAAGAAGCACTCAAGCTCCCACAATGAAAAATGGGGTGAACTGAACTGCAGGACTCAGCACCTCCCGTTTTAGTTCTAGGAAATTTGAGCCCGTCTGCACATGAGCAAGCAGAGCCGAGACGTGAGGGCACCGCAATGTAACAGATGAGTGTTGTGAACATGTAGTGAACAAACTTATGGAACTTAACTAGCCCCAGTTAGGTTTGTTCTGACTTGAGAGCTGTTGAAGGTGCTGTCTGGAGTCTGAAATGCGCTAAACGTCGTGCCATTTCTGTTGTAGCTGAAGCTATACTCTACCCAGCAGTCCAACCAGTGGCTAAAAAAAAACATGTTATGCAACCTTTGCTATTTAGTTCAGTGTGTTCTGGACAAAAGATGGCTGAGAGAGAAGGGGCAGGGGCAGGGTGTGGATGGAGATAGTGGTCTCAACTGTGAGCTGCTCTGGTCAGTGGAATGCAGGGAGACCAACCCAACGGTTTCAGCAGGACTTTGTTCTGCTGAAGCATGTTTTGTTCCCTGATTGCTCTTCAGCAAGTGTGCAAGTTGCTTAGAGTTTCACTCCCAATCGCCAGAAAAACAACAGTGAAAAAAAAGGGAAATTATATTTTGCATTAAGAAAACAAAGCTCACTTTTGGATTATTATTGGCATAATTGTGACATTATGTTCATGTATTTGTTCTTTAAATAAACAGTACAACAAATACTACCTTGAGATGTATGAATTATTTCACCCCAAAATCAACAGAAAAAAGTGAAATTATTTCGTATGAAGTTGTTTTT